TACAGTACTCAGTGTGTAAAACCTGAGGACACTGCCATTATGTCACGCCAATACTGACCCATAATACTCTCCAGTGGAGCTAAGCGTTCAGGCTCCAACTACTAAAAAATCTCACTGGGCTATATTATCTGTTCAATTCATGGTCTCTGAATCACTGAATATGTATAATTTCTAAAACAATATACTTGGTACATTTGTTCAAGTTTTGGCTCACTAAAACACCATTAGTTAACTGGTGAGAGTGAGGTGAGTGCTTTTGCTCATAAATGACTGTATAAAATCATTAAATCTACATATAAAGTTCTATTAAATTTCCTTGCAGCTAGAATGTTCACCTGGAGTTCATTCCAATTTTCAAACTTGGTATTGGCGATGTGAAACATTTCTATGAGGTGATCGAGAATGCTACTATTGCAGTTATAATCATTAACAACCTGAAAGGATCTTGTTTGAACAACAAGGATAAATTTTCTTACATCCTAAATTAAAAACACTCCAGAGAAACTATAGACCTACAAAGATGAATAAAAAGATTATTTAAATACTAAACGTACTGTATTTCCTAGCACGATACAAGGCATTTGGGAATCACTGTCACAGAAAAATTGGTCAGCTAATGAACAATGTACATTTTAAAGAAACAGCTTTGAAGCAGCATGATTCCATTACTATGTGGATAAGAAAATGTTGATTATATTTTAGGGAACACATCTATGTTAAGTCACTACCTCTCTGATATTCTATGTCCACTGGAACAATGAATGATGTAATTAACCATGGAGTAACAGAGAACACAGGGAAAGAAAGTGATAGGTATATTAAAAAGTATCAAAAGAGTAAAACTTAAAAAAGGAAGCAAAGGTGAGGAAATACAATGGAATAGTTGAGCTGTTTTGTGGACCTTCCTTCATGAAAGGAAAGGTGTATGCAACCACCCTGAGAAGTGTGATGATGTATGGCAGTGAAAGATGGGCAGTCAAGAGGATAACATAAGCTTGACAGACCAATGAGAATGGTGACACCGAATGAAACCCATTCCTAACTAAGAGGGCTGTCGGGTGAGACAGTTTGATGAGGTGTTATGTAGAGGTATAGTGAGATGGTTCAGGTATGTGGAGAGAATGAAGGCCAACTGGGGCAATAGATGCATAAGTTGGAATATTGTAAAGAGAAAACTTAGGAGTAGGCCAAAGAATACACGGGAAAGGGTTGTAAAAAATGACCTTAAAGATAAGAACCTGATGAATGAGGCTCCAACTGACAGTGCAGACTGGAGAGCTGCCACCAGGTAACCTGATTAACCCCACAACAAAGTGGGCAAATGGCTATAAAACAGCAATGACAATGTTGTGAAGAATGGATTCTGGATGCAGAAGGATGGACCATATTAGAAGAGAAAGAAATAATATGTAGAGAGGAGAATGTACAAAAAAATAAAATAAAAATAAAGCAGAGAATGGACTGGAGTTTGTCTGGGTTGTGTGGACATAAGAGTACTGTACTGTACTGTACTGTACTGTACACACTGTACTGTACTTGTGCCACTGTAAACATCACATCTATGAGATAATTTCTTTTATTTCAGAACATCCACAGATATATTTTACTGTACATGTTTATTAGCAGATAAAAAGGCTATTCACAAGAATAGATATGAACATGATAAAGAAAATAAGTGAGATAAATAAATGGAAGAGGAGGAAGAACAATACTAAAGAAAAGTGGGAAGCATGAAAGGGTACAAATGAAATTTGTGTATGAAGAATAAGGAATTAAGATACAAAAAGAATGGTGACAAAATAAAGAATTGAGAGAGGGAATGTATGGTAGGTTGGGGAGGGGGTTGGAGTATGGAGAACCATCCTTGGGTGAAAGAAATGAAAGTAATCATGAATAGGTCACTGCAAGGAACAGTCAGAGGCAGTGACTGACATTTTGAATATTGTATACACATATTACCATACAGCCACAAGTGCACATGCAGGTACTCTTCACTCATAAAAATTATAAAATATTCAAACTAGTAGACCAACATTGTCAGTACACATTTTTGCCCTTTGCTAACAATTCACAGAAACACACAGTAAAGTTGGTACACATGTAGAATAGTCTTCTAGCACAGAATCAAGGTTATAAGTAAACATTTAGTGTTCTGTACATAACTACAACTCACCTGGAATGGTCTTATAGTAACAATGTGGTATCGACAGAGGGTCTCGTGCATTTTGTGTAGCTTCTCCTGTAACTGGGGAGTTCTCGGGAGGAAGCCACGACCAGAGTAATGCATAACAGTTCTCCAACACTGCTATAAACTTTGCCTAACTCCTTGTGTAACTACCTGTGCCTTGATCCCTGAAATTTGGCAGAATCAAATAAATAAGAAAAAATATCTAGTTGTATGAGGTGATAACATAACACACACGCACTTGTAATATCTCTGTTAGCCGGATTCCCTCAATCCCGGAACTTTCCCATATCCGGGATTGAAATTTTCTCGGAAAATCGTTCCCAAAGCTGGAATTTTCCCGATATTCTTGTTTTGGGAATGATTTTCCAGACACATTTTATGGAAATTCTGAGAAAATTTTCCCAGTACCCGAAAAATTCAGGGACGAGGAAGTTTTTTTTCTGGGTTTGAAAGATGAAAATCAGGTGCATTACCAAGTTCAAGAAATTTTCCAGTACAGTAGAATATCGATTTAAACCAATTCAAGTTAAGATTATTGATTTAAAGCGACACCCACAATTAAGGACAATGTTTTAATTTAAAGCGAATCTTTCCTATTTTAGTGAGTCAAGCTGGCTAACATATTTTAAAATTCGCGCCTAATATTTCCTCTGGGCACGCTACACTGTCCTAAGGGCAAAGCTGTACTGCACATGTAATCAAACTGAAGAAATAAGACCCTGGTTGTAGCTGTAGTAAAATTAATGTAAAATTAATATGGTTGTTTTAAGTCATGTTATTTAATGTTAATAAATGGAACAATATAAGTAGCTAACTATTAATGGTAAAGAAAAAAGTGAGATGGCATATGTAAGTGAGCACAAGTGTAAACATATCGTCATTACTCTACATAAGAATATGAAAGCAACACTTATTTATTTTTCATATATATTTTAATTAATGTTTCTGAATTAAAAAAAAATTCTACCCACCAGTGGTAATAAAGTTGAAAACATAAGGACAGCCAATGTTGTTGTGTGTGTGTTTTTACTTGGATAGAAGTTGTACAGTCGACCCTCGTTAATTCGGACCCCTTTAATCCGGATTTCGGATAAATCGGACGAAATCTGAACTGTCCATATCAAATTTCTGGTTCTGGGATTGTCCCAGTTGCAATTGGGGTTGCAATTTAAAATTCTGTGTCACTACTAAGAAATAACAAAGTCCTGGTGCACTCTAAGATTAAGAGAAAGCAGATGACTCAAGGCGTCTGAAGTGAGAAAACAGACTCTATGAGGCACTCAAATAAAGAGACATGGCTACATGTTTTGTGGACTAGCCACTGTACAGTATCCTTTTCATCACTTTGTAATAAACCTCGTTATGCGATGTGTTTCTGATAATTATCATAACATTATATATTTATATATTTAGCGGTTGTACAAACACAAGGCCTCACACATGCCATTCAGACTGACAGACTTGACAAGTTTTACCAACCATAAGACAGTTGAAGCTTTAAACATCACTCACAATGGATCTTGAATATTCCAACTGTAATCAGACATACCAAGCTGCCTCAACAATTGCAACCCCAGTTGCAATATCAAATCTGTGTCACTACTAAGATATAACAGTCTCTGGTGCACTCTAAGATTAAGAAAAGCAGGACGACTCAGGAATTGCGAAGTGAGAAAAGCGGACTCTATGACGGGGCACTCAAATGAACATACTACATGCTGTATAATGCAATATTAACCCCTAAATCAGTTAATAGGACAATAGGCTAAACGGACACCTTCCCCTATTAGTCACGTTTAGCAGTGACTGTATTTCAATTTGGAAGATTTTAATTTTGTGGGGTTTTACGGTCGTGGATCTCCAAATATGAGAGCCTACTGTAAATAGGTGTCCAAATATGAGCCTACTGTAAATAGGTGTCCAAATATGAGAGCCTACTGTAAATAGGTGTCAAATATGAGAGCCTACATATATAGAAACAAACATTCCTGCATTTGAGACCACCAGACAACCTTCAGCAATTCCTCAATAGATGGCAGCTGCCACACCACTGCCATTAGTAAACAAACCACACAGCAGCAAGGGTTTTTTTTTTTTTATAATATCAACAATATTAGTTATATCAATAGATTTATAGTATTGTATAGAGAATACTTGTACAGGTAATTGTTAAAATACTGTAATGAGGTAACAGTCTTTGTAAGGGGCTGATTTAAAAAACTCTGCTACAACTCATCGCAGTGTATATTTTTGTCATAAAAAGTCCGTCTTTTAAGCCGAAAAATACGGTAATGTGCAATTTCTGGAACTTCCGAGAATATTTTTCCGTTACCTGGAAAATTCCGGGGATGGGGTATTTTTTCCTGCTTTGAGTCATTAGTTACAGAAATGCTCTGCACCAGTGTTCCAGCTAACAGAGATATCACTATGAAAAATTAGCACTAAGCACATTTCTTATTTATAAAATGAAAATTATAATTTTAATGAACTACATGCTAACACATTCAGTGATGCCATCTGAGAACACAGGCAGTTAACAACTGAAGAGTTATCGGTCTTAATTCTAGATACCCTGTACAGCAGTGGGAAAACCTTGCAAGAAAGCAAATATCCTATCCAATGAATATATGAACTGAACATTCTGCATATAACTAGCGATTTCTGTTTGCATGAACATTTTTATTACTATTAGGGTGCAAAGCATCAATTTCATTTTACAAGTAGAAAAAGTCACTATTGACACTCTTTATAGTGAAGATTGAAGAATGTGTTTTACCATATTATTCCAGTATTATCATCCTCAGCAATAATAAAACATCTGGTGACAGTTGGATAGACACTGAATTCTAATGCAGAGGAAACAAATTTGATACTGTATAATATTATCTATCTGAGAGGAAATCGGTTCTTTCTTTCTCACCTGTCCGAACCCCTACACTAGATCTTCCCTTACGGCACATTTCACTGAAGCGCTGTAAAGACCGATAGGCAGACTCTGGGTCCTGGCTGATGTGCAAGTTTGGACACCAACTGTTGATACTATCTGTTAACTGCTCATAAAGGCAGAGACCTGAGGAGAAGAGCTTTATCAAGGACATTCATGTACAGTACTGAACTGTACCTGAAAATGTTGAAATTCTGGAACAAACAAAGCTACCTGGATGGCCAGCCTAATTTATAATAATCTCTGAATAAGTTCCTATACAAATAAAAAAAAGTTATTTGTTAATGATTTTTCCAAACTGTCAAATTTACAATTCTTTTCATTAATCTTGTAAACTTTTGTCTGCTATGATTAGGTCAGCCAGGCAGGTATGTACACCCTGATCTTACCAGGATGCTCATCTATCAGAGGGTTGTTTCAGTCTCAGCAAATGCACCTGGTAGTGTACTAATTTTATAGCAGATTGTGTGAGGGTTAGTGATCAGGGAGACCTCAGTCCTCCACTGACCCATGGCCTTTTGCTTGCAAGTAAATCGCTCTATTACTGAACCTTGAAGTCACTAAAATTCCTAGCATGGATAGAATTTAAATTTGTCCATCCTAAAAAAAAAGACATTTAATATTTCAATCTTGTTGGTATTTTTGAATGAACATAAATACAGTACCTGTGTCAATAGAAGAGGCCATCAACTTAGCCAGTTTAAAGTGAATTTTGGATAGAACTTTGATTATATCTCTCAGAACACAGGGGACTAGAAAATGCAACCAATAACCCAAAAGTCAAAATATTACAAAACACCATTCACTTGATAACAAGGAGACTGACCTGGCGTGGTGGTAAACTATGGGTGGTACTGTATTCCGTGGGTCCTGTAAGATAGCGGTCTCTTTGGTGGATGGTTAATGAGGATGTCTCCACTTTGTTGACATTTTCCAAGTCATCATAAACTAATTTTTCTTCTAATCTAGCCTGTAAAATTAAACAGAAATAAGAGGTTAATATAAACATACACCATAAGCTCACACACCAACATCTGTCTGGAATAGTTTACATCAGTGCACACAGCTCATGACTGACATATCTCCCATATTATTCAATGTTAACCTCTGAAGGATTTCCTCACTATACAGTAAGTCCTCGCAACTAACGTTGGGATTACGTGCCTAAGCGACATAATCTGAAACAACGTTAAGCGGATAAATTTCTCCATAAGATAGATAAAATCACAGGAGTTACGTTCCTGAGCCTCCCATTGCCCATGAAATACATTACATATACAGAAAATCGCCACATTTCTATGAAAATAATGCATACATATACAACTACTAAATTTGTATTGGTACTCACCGATGGGAGGTGGTAGGCAGTGTGTGGTAGTGAGTGAAGCTGAGGAGGCTGCTGTGTGCTCCTCCCAGGCTGCTGGTTGTGAAAAGCTCCTGCTGCTTCTGCCGTCCCTCAATGAAAAAATGAATCAGTGTTGACTGCTTGGTGCTTTCTCATCTTCTTTTCCTATACATCTCAGTGTAACAACCAAGACTGTCCTCAATGTTCGTTGAACCTTTGAGCTACATTCTCTGTTTGGTCGTCATCTATAAAGTTGCATTGCTTGCTGGAACATGTTGAACGATTCTTCCATCCTCTTGGAAGTTAGCATCCTAAATGATAATGTAGTCTTCAGGACTGTGTTGTTAATTGTTCCAGATCTTCGTTGGTGAGCTCTTCTGTATGGGATGCCAAGAAGTCCTCAATATCCTCTGCTTCCAGCTCATCAAAGCCTGCCTGTCTAGCCAAGCTGGGGATATCTATTCACAGAATGGAGTAGAATACGTGAATCCCGTAAAACTGTTGAATTACTTGGGTCACAGTTTCATACACACCATTCATGCAACTTTCTGAAACCTCTTCCCATGCCTTGCCAATGTTGTCAATTGCATGAAGAATGTTGAAACCACACTGATATTCTCGGATCGTTGGTTTATTTTCTCCGTCTGTAGCCGAACAGCTAGACCGTAGTGCGGCATAAATAATACACCTTGAATCTCGGCGATAGCGCCTTGGTCCATAGGCTGCATCAGTGCTGGAGGCAGGAATACAACTTTTGCTGTGATGCAAGTGCGTCGAGGGTGGGAGGATGAGCTGGAGCATTGTCAGGATCAGAAGAACTTTGAAGTCAAAAGGTTCTCCTTGGCACAGTATTCCTTCAGTGCAGGGATGGTGTACACTACGATTCACTGGCTAAATATGGCGGTTATCCATGCCTTTTTGTTTTGCCTTGTAGATCACGGGAAGGTGATCCTTAGAGTAACCTTTCAGGACCCGTGGGTTAGCAGCACAAAAAATCGGTAGGCTTCAGCTTGAGTTTACCATGGCGTCAAAGCGTTTTTTCCTTTAAAACCTGGCGGCTCTTTTCTCCTCCTTGGAGATATAGGTCCTCTCAGGCATCCTCTTCCAAAGAGACCAGTCTCATCCACTTTGAAGACTTGCCGATGAGTAGCCTTCTTCCTGGATAATCGTTTTGAATTCTGGTGGGAATGTCACCGGCCGCGCTATATCTGAACTGGCGCTTCACCGAGTCATCTCTTACTACAGTGGGTATGCTATAACGAGCGGATCCTACTACGGTATTCCTATAGCAAACGGTTTTACCTATAAAATTGAGAATGCTATAGCAAACGAAACTCCTACAGCGAACATTATTTATTTATTTATTTATTTTTTTATTTTTATTTTTTTTTAATTTATTGTTTTTTTATTAAATGTGTGATATTCTTTATTTCAGGGTTTAGATGCATATTTATGCACTTTTTACAATTGCACAATTTTATATTGCTTATATTTTCAGTGTTAAGTGTAGTTTGTATTTGGGGGCCTGGAGCGGATTAATCCCTTCTTGAGCGAATGGTATAACAACGAACGGGTTCTAGAACCAATTAGATTCGTTATAGCATACCCAACTGTATTGTGGAAGTTATACCGACGCTTAAATCATTGAAATCACCCCTGGATGGCCGTAAAGGTCTCTTCCTTCAATCCTTCACCTTCGGTTTCCTTAAGTCATCAAACAAGGATCTGGCCTTATTCATGATAACCATAAGGCTCACAGGGGCATTGCATTTATTCTGGTCGTCCATCCACATTGCCAGCATCTTTTCCACCTTTTCTATCAGTGCTTCTAGTACGAGTTGTCTAAGTTGCACTCAGAGAAGAACCACTTCCAGCACTAATCTTAATCTCGTCAGTGTTGGCCCTGATAGTACACACCGTTGTGGGAGTTAGACCAAGCACAGCGGCTACGTCCACAGCACGTTCCCCCTTTTCAAAACAGGCTAATACATCCATTTTCGTAGCCAGGGTAATGGTCTTACGTTGCCTCTTCACTTCACTAGCATCAGTAGCACTTGAAAGCCATTTCGAATGGTTAGAGTACAGTTTTAGAGCAAATGCACTTAAGCACACACGAATGATATGAAGTCGTATCAGAGACTGGCTTGGGGACGCTGTGACGTTCCGCGAGTGAGGGCAGCACGCCGAGCCGAGAGTTTAGCAGGGCCAGACAAGAGCGGGTGATGTGCCGTAGAAAGTTGTCCGTGACGACGCAAAACGACGTAGTACAGATCACCGGGACGTTAAACAAATTTTTGGTCTCTAAAGTTCAGCGAAGTAGAACCGAAACAACGTTAAGCGAGGACTTACTGTTTTGGAACAAATTATGCGTATTTTTTTGCTTCTGGAACCTAACTAACTACTGTATTTCCATTTAAATCAATTAAATTTTAATTTAGAATTTGATCTCATGATGACTTCTGGTACCTTATCCACAAATTATCGCAAATCCAGTGTACTGTACAGGTATATGCAAGAAGCAAGAACATGCTTGAGAATTTTTTTTAGTACAGTACATCTCTGTTAAGGTCCTGACAATTATTCACTATGACATATGTTACAACATTCATTTCTACTGTGCATTAGGGTGGTCCAAAAATTAAAAGTTGGAATTTTAATTCAGACACATGTCACCCTAATACCTTTACCCCAAACATATCTTCAGGCAAAATTTCAGTTCCTTATCCCATATTCAGGAGTCCCGCAGTTCGTGAGCAGTGAGGGTGAACTGCTCTCTGAAGAGGAAGATCTTAAGAGAATAAATGGCCTTTGCCATCCACTGGCTTTGTGGAAGGCCCCAGGTGCCCTGGTCTTCACAATTCTCTCTGGAATTTCCCCCAAGAAGGTGTATGACAGGACAATAATTTCCTTGTAATCATCCCTGAGGTGAGCTAGAATTTTTATGAGACTAAAATAACTACCAGTAAATGTTTTGCGGGACCCCTAAACATCATCCAATTTTCTTCAAATTTATACAAAGCTTCACTAGTGTACATGAAGTGCAACGAGGGCACCATGTGCTCGCTTGGTTCAGACAACTTTCAAATTTTCACCCTATAATTTGGACCACCCTACTGTGCATGAATGACCAGAACAAGATGTTATAAGTTATTTTCCGGAAAGAATGTGTTGCTGATGGGTGAAGCATCAAGGATAAACCAGATTTGGTGCCTTGTTATGGACAAGAACACATCTTTGGAAACTATAAAAATAAAATATTGATTCTGTTAAGTTTCAGAATCTTTCATGGAAAAAATGGTTGTAGTTTAATTTACAAAGAGAGTGCCCCAAAGTCATATGGGAAAGATGGAGAGAAAAATGGGTGGATAGGCAGATGGGACCAACTCTCTATTGTTTGCCCCCATCTGTAGCAAAGGTTTAAATAAAAAAAGAAAAGAAAAAGAGTCCATAAAGCCTGTGACAGACCACTAAATAATATGTGACACAAGTAATAATGGAATATTCAAACAGTGACCCACTCACCCTTTTACTTTTCTGAACTTGAATGTCCTGTTTTACTTCACCATTGGGAATTCCATTTGGGTTTTTTGCTGCGAGCTCATCCAACACCTTCTCCTTTTCAGAATGTGTTTGTGATTTAATAATGTTGAGACTGTGTTGGTTGAATCTGGAATGTAGAAGAGCATTGTGTTTTATTGTGGTGAAAAGTTGTTGCTTAGTCAAGAGTAACAACTGGCTGACAATTTGTTGGATAAAGACTCATTACAGTACGGTACTTGATTCACCATTAAGGATGAGTTGACGGTTCTGGGCAAACACAAGAAATACACTCAGCCACATTCATAGAGTGATACGGTATACTGTATATAATTTGTTATATAAGTTTAAAAGCCCTGCTATAATAGTCGAGATAAGTTTATTTCTCTAGAAGCAGGGCCACCATTTGCAATGACGGCACTAGTACAGTTATCCCTCGGTTAACGAGCGCCTCGGTTAACGAGTTACCTCCCATAAGATTCTTAACTTCGGTTAACGAGCAATCCCTCGATTATCGAGTTTCTTATGAGCCGACCTCAACAAGTTTTCGCTTGCACTTGGCGGTCCACCAGCTGTAGTATTAGTCCGCCAATACAGTAATCGGTTCTAGGGCTTAAATTCCTTACTATTTTAGTAAATATCAAGAAGTTTATACAATTCAATAATTTTAAAAGTTTAATATTAAATTTTGTAGTCATTTTAACAATTATTGAACAAAGGTAAGGTCACCAGTTTGTTGGCGTGCCATCCAGCTTTTTAACACACCAAACAAGCGTTTGTCTCTCTCTGTTTTCACTGGAGGTAACATCTTGCTTGAGACTCTCTTCAGCTAAACGCTTTTTTCTGTGTTTCCAAGCAAATTATTGGTCATTTTGAAGTTTATTTTACATATTGACAATATATAATGCAGTGCAGTGTTGATTTAAAGAAAATAATCTTGAATTACACCAAGAGAAATAAATTTTATGGGTGAAATGGCACCAAGGGGTGACTTCTCTTCCACCCCAATGCCTTCTCTTCTCTCTTCTCCACCCCCATTCTAATTCTCATCATCATCATCATCATCATCCAGGAGCCTTCTACATACACACCTCAAAGTAAGTGTCAATTTCTAAATTTTTTTTTAGAATTTAAGCAATTTTTGGTGAACTGGAATCAATTACCCAAAAAACCCATTGAAACAACGATTTCGGTTAACGAGATTTTCGGTTAACGAGCAACCTGTTGGAACGGATTGTGCTCGTTAACCGAGGGACCACTGTAGTAGGCAGCTACCAAACAGGGAGGTACTACTGCCTGGGAAGACATTGGAAGCATAATGTATTGTCTAATGGTAGACCCTGCTGCCATATGGCATCACAAAAATTGTGACCAAGTCCCAGGTTGCTGATCTGACTTTCTGCCTCATTTACACACAATTGCAGGGTCTCAATTGTTTCACTTACTACTGACAACACAACATACATATATTGCTTCTCACCCTTGATCTTTTTTTCTTTATTTTTGTATTTCTTTATGGGTCTATTATTATTATTAATATTATTATTATTATTACTATTATTATTATTACTATTATTATCATCATCATCATCATCATCATCATTATTATTATTGCAGTGTTGTTATAATTTTATTATTTTTATTTTTGTATTATTTATTATAAATTTTACTTATCTGAATTATAATATTATTATTGTTGTTGTTATTATTGTTATTATTATTACATTTTCGCCCCCCAGGCCCCAATGTGGGTCAGTGACCTGTGCCCGGGTGGGCTAATCCCCGCATTAAAAAAAAAAAAAAAAAATCAAACTCATCGCTGCAGTCGGAGGTAGTAGAAAGGATGGCCTCTTCAGACCCCAAATGCCACGTTCAGGTAAGTTTTAAGGGTGTTTTGTTATGGTCTAAATCATGGACATTTCGTAAGTGAAGAAATTTGCTGTGAAGAGCAGCTTCAAACATAGGTTGGATGGATATATGAGCGATAGGGGTTGGGTGTAAATGGGACTGCCCAGTATGGCCCGATGCAGTTTCCTCCATTCTTATGTTCTTTTGGATATAAAACCTCCCATGGTCACACGAGCTCAGCTGTCATGTACTCTTACCTGGTAGACTTTCTCTTTCTTTTTCAGTGCATTTACAGAGTATATCAGTACTAGATGGAGATACGAGTTAATTTAGAAGTAATGACATTGTCTGGACTTTGTTTTGATAATGCCTGATGCTAGGTAAACATGACAACATAGTGCTGTTATTGTTTTGATGATTCACTTATGAACCACTGGGATATATCATCACTTATATATTAATTAATGGGTAAAATTTTAGTTCAACTACCACAAGTATTTTGATGTTTAGATCCGAGATAGGCTATAGTGGGTAAATTTTAAGTTTTGTTCATCCCTGTACTTAGACTGTTTTTTTTTTTCTAATGGTTTGTGATGAGTTATGAACGATTTTGACCTTCATTTCCATCGGAAATAACTAGTTTTGAGTTACTACAACCCCCCTTACCGATGTATGTTAAGCTAACCTTATTACTCATCATACCCTAACATATGACCTGTATTTTCTTATGCAATCGAAAAATGTTTTGCGACAGAAATCCCGTAGAGATAATGTGTCTTATTGTTTAAAGTACTTAATCCCATAGTTAGAATCTTAAGGTTCCCCAGATGACCAAAGCCAAAATAATACCAATATTGTTTGGAATGTTTATACTATAAAATTTGTTGTATGGGGCAGCTAATATCCATTGAATTAGTTTATGTGCTTAGTAATATTTATATACAGTCGGCCCTTAACATACGCGGGTTTAGCATACACGGATTTGGAAAGACGCGGATTGCCCCGCCGGAGGAATATTCTGTATATTGAAGTAATTGAAGTACAGTCGACCCTCGTTAATTCGGACCCCTTTAATCTGGATTTCGGATAGATTGGACGAAATTTGAACTGTCCATATCAAATTTCTGGTTCTGGGATTGTCCCAGTTGCAATTGGGGTTGCAATTTAAAATTCTGTGTCACTACTAAGAAATAACAAAGTCCCTGGTGCACTCTAAGATTAAGAGAAAACGGACGACTCAGGCGTCCTGAAGTGAGAGAAAACAGACTCCTATGACGGGGCACTCAAATAAAGAGACATGGCTACATGTTTTGTGGACTAGCCACTGTACAGTATCCTTTTCATCACTTTGTAATAAACCTCGTTATGCCGATGTGTTTCTGATAATTATCATAACATTATATATTTATATATTTAGCGGTTGTACAAACACAAGGCCTCACACATGCCATTCAGACTGACAGACTTGACAAGTTTTACCAACCATAAAGACAGTTGAAGCTTTAAACATCACTCACAATGGATCTTGAATATTCCAACTGTAATCAGACATACCTAAGTTGCCTCAACAATTGCAACCCCAGTTGCAATATCAAATTCTGTGTCACTACTAAGATATAACAGTCTCTGGTGCACTCTAAGATTAAGAGAAAACGGACGACTCAGGAGTGCTGAAGTGAGAGAAAAAGGACTCCTATGACGGGGCACTCAAATGACCATACACATAGCTGTATAATGCAATATTAACCCCTAAATCGGTTAATTCGGACAATCGGCTAAAACGGACACCGTTCCCCCCCTATTAGTCCGTTTTAACGAGGGTCGACTGTACATTCAAATCGCGCGGCACCTCACACAGGACACCGCCCGCTCCCGCAACCTCACACACACACGCATAGCTCTCCCTAACTCAGTCAGTCTCGCTGTAACCACGCTTGTGTTGACATCAGCATTGTAGTTGCAAAAATATTACATTTCCGTGAATGTATTATATCAAGCACAGTATTAATAGAATATCACTAGTATAACAGTATTTTAACAGAAAACTATTAAAAAAATGAGTAACATATCTTGAACATCGGAAGGTTAGGTAAAGTCTTTTGTTTTCATGTAGTTTATCCTAATTTACATTGAAATATAATACGTTTCAGCAAAACTACTATTTATTTCTGAGAATATGGAAATGTAATATTTTTGCTGAAATGACGTACGTATTACAGTGGAAAGTGACGAAAGCAATGACTTTCGCTTTCTTTCGTTCAAAAGATGTTACCGTAATCGCTTTTCGAATGGTTTTCAGTTAAAAAACTTTTGTATTACAATAATATTCTATCCTAATTCACTTGTGATGCAACAGTTTTTTTTAACTGAAAGTCATTTGAAAAGCAATTACGGTAACATCTTTTGAACGAAAGAAAGCAAGTCATTGTTTTCGTCACGATTTTATCCCACTTTCCACTGGAATACGTACGCCATTTCAGCAAAAATATTACATTTCCGTGAATTATTATAAAACGAGTAACATCTCTTGAACATCGGAAGGTTAGGTAAAGTCTTTTGTTTTCGTCATGTATTTTATCCTATTTTACATTGAAATACATCACGTTTCAGCAAAACTACTATTTATTTCTGAGAATATTTTCATTCGGGCGCAGTTTAGGTAAAATGTACATGTGATGTAACATTTTTTTAACTGAAAATGATTCGAAAAACACGTACCCTCTAGCCCTGTTCAAGGAGAAGACTGGGAGGAGCTGTTTGGTGCTGAAGACGATGAAAAGGAAAATGATTTTGATGGATTTTAATGAAAATATTCAGAAATATGGTATCGTAGTATTTATTCAAGTGAATTAGGATAGAATATTATTGTAATACAATAGTAGTGACGATGTGGAGGAGGCGGAGGGATAGAGCGGGGAGGAGGTGACTGGCGGGAGCAGGGACGAGTGGAGATGCCAGCCAGTACATTACGAGTGTATTACAGGTTGTACCTCTCTAGTCCGGCAACCTCGGGACCTGACCGGTGCCGGACCATGGAAATTGCCGGACCATGGAAATTCACCCTTTTCCTGGATAGTGACTTGTGCTTAAGCCTGGAAGCACTAGCACCACTTTCTCTGCATCATGGTCTCTTTGAAGACATATTGAAGGGTTAAATGTCGTATAGTAGCTTCTCAAAATTCGAGAGTTTTTAACTCTTAACGTATTTTATTGGAACACACAAAAAAATAAATAAATACAAATTTTGACGGCGGAAACTTGAATTTCGACGGGTTTGAACGG